CCAGCTGGAGCCCAGGCAAGAGTGACAGAGCCCTCAAGACTCAGTGGCAGGCCTGTTTTCAGTCCTCAAGCCCTTGCACATCTGGGGATCGAGTTGGGTTTCATTCCAGGCAGCTAGTCCAGACCCTGAAGTGCTGACTCGGCCCCTGCTGGTAGCCTGCGGGCCTCAGCATGGGCCAGCGGGAGCTCTGGGGGACAGGTGAGTCACAGGACGTGGGAAGCGAAGTGTGCTGCTGGGACAGGTGGTGCAGGTGTGAGTGGGGACGGTGCCTCCAGAGCCTGCCTGGCAGGCTGGGCCAGGGGCCCGGGTGGGAAGGCCAGCCCCCGCCTCCTGGGTTTTTGCCTAGGACATGTGCTGCCTGGTTCTTCCTGCAGGCTTCGGGGTGGACAGACAGGCTCCTGCCCTGGCAACCCTGACATTCCCTAGGAGGAGCGGAAGAACCACGTCAGTGAGCAGGATGGCCACACCACCTCACAGTGGGGTGTCCAGAGAGGGTGGCCTTGTCTGGGCTCCAGCTGGCCAGGCAGCCTCAGTTGGTTGCCTCCGAACTAGATGCTGTTGGGGGAACACAGTGGTGGGAGAGACCTTGGGTAGGGTTAGTTTGGGATGTTGGCAGAAGTCCACATTTGGCTGAGAGATGATGAAACCCTAAAGGCAGATTTAGCCACAGTGAGGGGGAATTCTAAGGAAGCTCTGAAGGTCATTTCCCTAGAAGGCAACAGGTGACCTTGTCCAGTTACCAGAGGACCTCTGCAAGATGTGGCTATTCCAAAGGGGAGAGGACATCCTGTGGCCCATGCGTGGTGCTGTACCTGGATTCAACACACCAGCAGCTGACGCTTGTGCTGAAACTCTTGTCCATTTTGATACAAAACTGTTAGCACTGAGTGAGAGAGAGGAATCCATTGCTTCCAAGACTTCATACTCTGGGATCCTTAGAACTGAGCTTCTTGTTGTGACACTGGTAGATTCCATGCAGTTGAAAACACAACACAGAGAGGGCCTGTCACCATTGCCAGTGTGCCCCAGGGTGACGTCATGCAGAACGCACAGACAGCTCCCGCCTCCCTTGGTTTCTTCAGCCCTGCTTCACGGGTTGAAGCCTGGGCAAGGTGCAGGTCACGCCCTGTTTCTCTCACTCATGTGCATGTAGTGGGACAGGCAGCCTTGTGAGTGTGCACGGTGTGAGTGTGCCCTGCGCATTGCCTGTTGCCCCTTCACAGCCCAGTCCCTGTCCCTGGCAACTGATACCTGAAGCAGGAACTTCCAACTTAGTGATGGTGAAAAGGAAATCGAGTCCAGTGAGAGCAACCTGCAGGCAAGGCTTCAACTGGAGCTCAGCTCAGGGGGCAGCACTGATGGAGTAGCCAGGCTGCTCCCCGAGCAAGGGAGACACGAGCTGTTGTGGCCTTGCTGGGGTGGGCTAGGGTCCAGTCAGTGAGTTCCACTGGCCAGGGGCAGATTCCAAAAGATGTTTCTTCTCATGGTGGCCTTATTGGGGGACTGCTGGGTTGTGATGCAGCTGGTCCCTTTGTCCTGTGCACACACCTGGCCTGTGGCTCCATCTGGGCTGATGGCAGGGCTGAAGGGCTTTGGGTGCTTGGGCTACTGTCACTCCTGGACAGGCACAGGGCAGGTGGAAGAAAACACCTACCAGCCTCCATGGTCAGCTATGACTACCCACAGGACCCAGTAGGATCGACCCAAAGGGTAAGGTGGCCAAGGGGACAGGACCAATATGAAGACAGAGACCCCATTCCAGTCACCCACCAGACTCCTGCAGGCCTGGGGAAGAGCCAGAGTCTCCAGTGAAAGAGGCCTTGGGGTCCCTGAAGAGCAGCTGGGCCTCCACTGTCCACATAGCCCACGCAGCAGAGGTGTGACTCGCAGCAAAGCCCTAGGGAACCAGTCATATGCCCTAGCTGTGTGACCTCCCAAACAGGCAAGTCTCAAGTTAACTAAGAAAAGGTGAAGCTAGAGGATTTATTAGGTTTTCTCAGGAGAAATCTCATCTTGTGCAAACATTCTACTTCTCTGGTGGGATTGGGTCTTGTGACCCATTTGTTCAGGAGGGTAGAGAAGCAGCAGGTCCTGCCACTTAGGGGACTCATTCACTGCACCCCAGGGTCACTCCCTGTTCCCAGCCTTTTGTCCCGTCTCATGGCCCTGACAGATCCATCCAGACTTGTATGCTACCAGCTTCTTGCTCCTGAGCTGTGTTTCATGCTACGGAGGTGAGCAGCTAGCTTAGCCATCCTGCTAGGGGATACCAGGGGGTTTCCAGTTTTGACTCTCACAGAGAAAGCGGCTGTGGGTCTGGGCTCAGGCTTTTGAGGGATGAATTCAGGAGTGCAATTGCTGGCTTATGCAACAGCTGCATACTTATGTGTATAAGAAGCCGCCGCCTTGTTTTTCAGAGACTTGATAGCATCTGGTGTTGTGCTGTTCTATTTTAGCCATTCTGAAAGGCGTGTGGTGACAGCTCACAAAGATTTAACTTGCATTCTCCTGGTGGCTAATCAAGTTAGTCACTCATTCCTATTGCCCTCTGTGGATCCTCTTCCATGAGATGCCTCCTCATGTCTTGGCCCACTTTCATGCTGAATTTTTTAAACTGTTGAAATATATATCCTAGCTACCAGTCCTTTGTTGGCTATGTGGTTTTCGAACATTTTCTGTCAGTCTGTGTGTTTGAAAACCTCTGATGGGAATTGCATCAAATCTGTAAGTCAATTTAAGGAGAACTGGCATCTTTACTCTGCTGTTTCCCAATCCATGGACACAGTATACCTCTCTGTTTATTCGGTCTTTTTGATTTCTTCTGTTAATGTTGTATAATCATTAGCATCGAAGCACTACACTTGCTTTGCTAAAGTATTTAATTTTCTTTGAAGTAATTATATGTGTACCCTGTCTTCAATTGTGGTTTTCACATGTGTTGGCACAGTTCAAAGAAATACAGTTCATTGTAGTGTGCTGATCTTGTGTCCTGCAGCCTTGCTGAACTCACTGCTCACCCCAGACCCCTGAGGATATGGGAGGAGGAGTTGACAGAGACTTGGATAGGTGGAAATAGCCACTTGGTCACCCTGTTTTAGGGTAACAGGCTGAGACTTTACTAGGCCTGCAGCTGGTGAGGGGCAAATCCTATCTAGCCATGTCCTCGACATCGATACCTATGCTGTCCCTCCCTATCTGCCAGGAGTGGTAGGAAGACATGGAAGTCCCCAGTCCCAAGCAGTACCAGGCCTTGGGGGAAGGCTGTGAGGGCCAGCTCCTCGGGGTCAGGGTTAGTGGATGGATGGGGTGGGGGCAAGTAAGGAATGAGGAGAAGGGGACAGGGGAGCTGGAAGGGACAAAGGTGAGGTGAGGACACTGGCACTGAGCAGGAGGACCACAGGGCCCCTTCAGAGGTTTCAGAGAGTGGGCTGTCCTTTTGGAGGGCACTGGGGAGAGCCCCATTTCCCCTTGGTTACTCAACAGTTCTTCACAAAAGAGACCCCAAAGTGTGTGACTCCATCTGACGCACACACGAGCCTGGTAAGAACACACAAGGGTTGGGACCACGCAACTGCTTGTTCAGAGAGGGATGTGGGACAGTGGTGAGTAAGAGAAGCAATGAATAGGCAGAAGGAGACTTGAAGGAAACAGGGACAGAGACAATTTTAACTGAGTGTCACCTGCCTTTCCAGGCCGGTGCTTTGCATGGCCTGTCACCCACAAGCTTCTAGAAAACCTGTGATTCTACCTTGTCCTCTGTTAACTAGCCCACAAATAAATATATCAAGTAAAGAGATATATGACATTTAAAAAAACCCTATAATTTGGGGGGGCTTTCCAGCAACGATTACTGATCAGACAGATAATGGAGACCACGCCGGCCTGAGGATCTGGAGAATGACCAGACCACCATAAACCATCTTGAGATCCCCAGACTGACGCCAACCCCACACCTCCTGTGCCCACCCCTCTTCAGACTTCTTTAGAAGAGCCCAGAACCCAGGAACAGGGGCCTGTTCTCTCTGGAATGTGTGCCCCTGCTTTCCTAACCCTAATCCTGCTCCCTGACAGACAGTGCTGTCAATCTTATCTGTCATGCATTTCAAGGACCCCACTTGTGCTGCCGGAATCCCCCCTTCCCTGGGAATTCTTCAGATGACAACCCTCTTCCAGAGACATCTCCTGTGACAGTGACACCTGCCAACCCTTAAGACTAAGAGCAGGAACAGCCTGCTCCGGACCACAGAGGCGAGCCTGAGGGACAGGAGGCCTCCTTGTCCACCTCAATCTGGATAAGGAGACCCCACTCTACATGGGCCTGCCTGGCAGGGCCAGGAACCAGCCAGACACAGGCCCTCTGAGCCAGACTGGCCTCCCTCCTGCCTCCCACCCATAGGCCTCTCTGGAGACAAACAGAAACCTGCCCAGCTGCTGGGCCAGCTGACTCCCGGGGGAAGCAGCAGAAAACATCCGGGTGGGAGGGCAGGCTGCCTCCCCTAGGGGCTGGGCCGACGGGATCTTCAGGCCTTGTCCTCCCCAGCTCCCACCCTTCCGGATTCCCCTAGCGGGAGGTGTAATGGCACTCTGGATTCCAGGCTCTCTGCAGACTGACACCAGTTTCCTCTTCCAGGCTGGCCTCTAGCCTCTCCCTGCCGCTTGTTTGGATCTCAGTAGTTTGGGGGCAAAGAGACTGCAGGTCCCCTTTCCTGCACCCACCCCCGCGAGCATGTTCACGACGGGTCCTCACAAGCTGTGACCCGATTGGCCACTACAAGAAGGGACTTTTTCCTGCCTCTGAGGCTCGGTTTCGATCCCGGCTTCAGCACGACACCCAAAGTGGGGAGGGCAACTCCGCCCACTCGCCCCTCCCACACGACGCGTCGCCCCAGCGGATCCTTGGGGGCGGGGACTGACCCTATTGCCCCGCCCAGTCCGGCGCCACCCGGCCCGCCTACGCGGGTGCCTTTAAGTCCTCTGGAGACCCTCGGCCGGCCGCGGCGATGGCCGGGCCCGCGGGAGCAGTGGCGGAGGCTGCCGGGGGCGCACCGCGAAGCCCCCGCGCCTATGCGCGCCGCTGGGTCTTCCTGCTGGTGGTCAGCTTGCTGAGCTGCTCCAACGCCACGGTACCGGCCGGGCGGGCGTGGGAGCGCTGGGGCGGGCCGGTGTAGCGCTGGAGCCGGCCTGCTGCACTGTCCCTCAGCCCCGGGGCCGCGGCCGCGCGTGTCCGGTGCCCGGGTACGGGGACCTGGGCCTCGGCCTCGGGCGCCTTCTCCTGGTCCGCGCTGGCCGCCCAGTAAGGGGCCAACGTCTGTCCCAGTCTGCCCCAGCTCCAGGGCACTGGCAGTCGGCACTGAGAGGGACCAGCAGAGAGATGGGCTTTGCCATTTCAGGTGTCCCACCCCACAGCCTGCAGCTTCCTAGACTCTCCGCAGCCCCCAGCCCCTGCAGCCAGAGGCCTAGGCTGCCTCACAGCCCTTGTACCTAGGTGGGCTGTGTGTGACCCTCACTTCCTCTGTGCCAGGCTAGTCTTGGCCACCTCTCCATGTTGCTTAGACAGGCATCCGTAGGTGGAGGGAGGGCTTCCAACCACCTCACCACCATCTGACCTGGTGGCTGAACAGAGTGGACTGTGATGGGGGCTTCCAGGCTGTCTGGGGTGGGCACTGGGGTCTGCAGGCTGCAGTAACTCCAGAAACCTCTTCCCTCTGCCAAAGCTGCCTGGATGAGCCCTGATTTGCTGCTGTGGCTTGGCTCCCAGGCCCCTGTGTCTAGACAAGGCTGTGGCTATGCCATCTGGGGATGTCTGGACAAGGCTGTGGCTATGCCATCTGGGGATGTCTGGACAAGGCTGTGGCTATGCCATCTGGGGATGTCTGGACAAGGCTGTGGCTATGCCATCTGGGGGATGTCTAGACAAGGCTGTGGCTATGCCATCTGAGGATGCACTCGGGCCTCCTCTGGAGCTTCTTCCATGGGTCTGAGAAGTTCCTGGGTCGCCCAGGTAGGGTCCTGCCATTGTGGAGCAGACAGGAATTGTGGTCCCTGCTGGGTCTCCACTGTGAGCACTGGGCTTCATGTTTGCCCTGGCCAGGTTCCTGTAGCCCTGGGTCACTGTTTGCAGCTGGTGACCAGGGCTCCCAGGTGCTGAGGGGACAGGTAGCACAGAGCTTGGGGTGAGGCCTGGAGACAGCCCAGCATTCTGAACAGGGTTCTGTGTGGGGCTCTGCCTGCTCCTCAGGAAGATGAGGGGCGAGCAGGGAAGGGCTGGGAGCTGGTTGAAGGATTTCTTGCACAGCAGGTGAGTTGGATAGGTCATCTCCTGCCATACAGGGTCACAGCTCTGGGAGGAAGACATGGAGCTGGTGCTGGCTGTTTAGGGAGGAGCTCCAATCAGTTCTGTAGAGCAGGCTCTGTAAACAGATGCTGACGCCTTCAACTGCTGGGTTAGGTCAGGCAGGAGGCAGCTGAGCCTGTTTGCTGCTCTTTCTGAGCTTGGGGATCAGCCCTTGCACTGTCCTGAGGAAAGAGGAAGACAGTCAGCCCTTGCTTAGCTGGCGGTCATGTGAGTTTGGCAGTGGGAGCCTGGCTCTCACTGCCCACCATGGAGGGTGTGGCCTAGAGCTCTGGCATCCTGAGTTGACTCATCGTGACCTTGGACCGTGATACACCCTCGTGGTTGGTCCATGTGCCACCCTCCCACCCCACCTCTGGGTTAAGCCTTGATGACCCCTCCTTTCCTCCTGCCCCCTCGTCTTTTCCAGAAAGCCTGCCCCATGGCCCAGTGTGGTGAGTGTGCTGTTTGCTGAGAAACCATGGGTTGCTCTCAGCATTTGGTAACTCCTACAGTTGAAGAATGTCCTCTGCCCTGGGGATGGCCTCACCTGCAGGACACCTGTCTCCTGTGGGGTGGGGCCCGCACACAGTGCAGGTGTTTCTACCTGAGATTCCATCGTCCAACTTGCAAGAGATGACCTGCCCCCCTCAAAAAATGTTCCAGAATCTGAGCTCTGCTGTCCCTTTGGCACTGTCCTCAGCCCTGCTGGGGCCCTCCTTGTCCCTCTGGGTGCTGCTGCCTGCAGCCTCACTCACACCTAGGCTCCCAGGGCTTCCCGCCCTTGCTATCTGGACGTCTGGCATGGTGTCTCCTCTAGCCACCGACTGCCCAGACTGTGTCAGCTTAGTGCTCATCCATGTGATGGGGGGCCAGGGCTGCCGTCTTCCCTCTCCCCAATGTCCCTTGCCTTCTGTGAACTGGTGCTGTGTCCAGGCAACTCCATCCCTCCGAGGTTCTGCTCTTGCTGCCTCTCCCTGCCCACTTGGCAAGCCTCAGCTGCCCATGTGCCCTTTCACACCCATAGTCCACACAGAGCTTCCCAGAGGGTGGGTGGTCCCCCTGCTGACAGCCCTCAGGCTGTCCTCAGGGGTCAGGTCCAGTCCCAGTGGGGCTCCTGATCCTGCAGGCTCTGGCCATATCATCAGCCTCAGGGCTGGTCCAACCTCCCATTGCCCTTACAGGCGGACTCATGCTGTCCTGCCGAGGGATGGATGAGAGGGGCAGCAGGCAGCCAGGGAGGAGTGGCGGGGCAGTGTCTGTGGGCCCTAGGCTGACTCCACATGTCCCCACAGCTCTGGCTCAGCTTCGCCCCAGTTGCAGACATCATTGCCCAGCACTTCCTCCTGTCCATGGCACAGGTTGGCTGGCTCTCGCTGATCTACCTGGTGGTGTCCATCCCATTTGGCATCTTGGCCATCTGGGTCCTAGACTCTGTGGGGCTCCGAGGGGCGGTGAGTCAGACCCCACACCATGGCCTGCCTGGGATTATTAGCAAGGTCCTCTGCATTTAGAGGTTGGGTGCATGTGCTCCCCAGACCAGGGCCCAACAGCCCTGCTGGCTGGGACCCCAGGCAAAACTGCCAGGGAGGAGGGATGGCTAGAAATTGGGATGTGCCTGTGAGCTAGGGTGGGCATTTGGGGACATGGGTTGGGGAGTCCGAGATGGCCAGCAGCCTTCTGACTATCCTGCAGACCATCCTGGGTGCATGGCTGAACTTTGCTGGGAGTATGCTCCGCGCCCTTCCCTGTGTGGCTGCCTGGGTCCCCAACACATTTGCCTTCTTCATGGGTGGCCAGAGCCTCTGTGCCCTGGCCCAGAACTTGGTAATCTTCTCTCCAGCCAAGCTGGCCGCCTTGTGGTTCCCAGAGCATCAGCGAGCCACAGCCAACATGATTGCCACTATGTGTAAGTGCCAGGGCTGAGGCCTCTGCCTGCCTGGGTCTTCCACCCCTTGAGCTCATGAGCCAGGGCCCCAGGGCCAGGAAGCCTTCCCCCTGGGCTGGGGATGAGGCCAGCCATGGCTGAGCTGACCTGCTGCCTGGTTCATCTCTCCACCCAGCAAATCCCCTGGGCATCCTTGTGGCCAATGTGCTGTCACCTGCCCTGGTCAAGAAGGGAGAGGACATCCCTCTAATGGTGAGGAAGCTTGTAAGGCGCACATGTGTGGTGTGTTTCTGCTGTCTGCTTGTGCATGTGTAAGTGGTGTGTGTGCATGTGTGGTGTGAGGGGTGTGCATGAGTTGTACGTGCATGTGTGTGGTGTGTGCACATGTGTGGTATATGAATGTGTGCGTGCTGTGCATGCATGTGTGGTGTGAGGTGTGTGTGTGTGTGTGTGTGTGTGTGGTGTGCTCACACCTGTGCACTTGTACTCTGACATGCCTGGGTGTGTTTGCATGACCTTCTTCCTACGTGATTGTGCAGCTGGCCCTTAGGTGCTAATCTGTTCTGGGTGGTCAGGCTGGCCTTGTCAAGGTGGGAGCCATCCTTGAGGAATATTTTGATAATCAGGGCTCTTCATGAAACCCCCAGGAGCAGGTGAGGGTGGTACAAAGCAGCCCACCACAGGCCCTGGGTTTACTGGTGACTCTGGAGGTTGGAGGGTGGACAGAGATCACAAGGGGATAAGGACCTGGGCCCAGAGCAGGGCAGAGGCATGTGGGCACAATTACCTGTGTGGCTGTTTATGACACCCATGCCCTCTCCCAGCTTGGAGTCTACACCATCCCTGCAGGCCTGGCCTGCCTGCTGGCCACTGTCTGCCTCTGGGAGAGTGTACCCCCCACCCCACCCTCTGTGGGGGCCGCCAGCTCCACCTCGGAGAACTTCCTCCAGGGGCTCAAGCTGGTGAGTGTGGTGGGACTCTGGGGGTGGGAAGGCCCTGGCTGGAAGCACCTGGGCTTCTGGGCTAAGAGGCACCTCCCCTCCAGCTTCTTCAGAACAAGGCCTATGTCATCCTGGCTGTGTGCTTTGGGGGTGGCATCGGGATCTTCTCCAGCTTCTCGGCTCTCCTGGAGCAGATCCTCTGTGCCAGTGGCTACTCCAACGTGAGTTCCTGCAGGGCAGGGACTCTGCCTCTGCTCGGGTTACCCACTGCCTCTGAGTGCTCAGTGTCCACGCTGGAAGAAGCATGGAGGGCCAGCTGTAGGACTTGTGCATCCCTGGGCCTGACCCATACCTGTTGCCCTCTGCCCTGTTCCCTTTGGCTCAGAGCTGGGTGTGGGCCTGGGGCATGTTTCCACTTCTGCCCTAGGTGCAGGGCACTGAGGGCCTGTGGATATCTCTGGTGACTGGCCCTTTTCCTTAGTGGGGTGCTCAGTAGTGGATCCCACTCTGGCAGACAGCCAATAGTGTTGTCCTGCTTTGGCCTTGGGTACTGCCCTGGTCACAGGGTATGTCCCAAGGAACTCTGGTGGCTTCCTGCCCCAGGATGTTGCCTGAACTTTCCCCTCTTCCAGGGGTTCTCGGGCCTCTGCGGGGCTCTCTTCATCGTGTTTGGGATCCTGGGGGCACTGGTTCTTGGCCTGTATGTGGATTGGACCAAGCGCTTCACTGAGGCCACGAAGATAGGTCTCTGCCTTGCCTCCATGGCCTGTGTGGCCTTTGCCCTGGTGAGAGTCCCCTGCTGAGCCCCGCTGCAGGGGTGGAGGAGTGCCCGGGCAGGTGGCAGGCAAGAGGCCACTGGCCTCTCAGGCATGGCCTCTCCTGCTGGGGGGCCCATGGTGGGTGAGGTGTCCTGCCTACAGCCATGCAGCCTAGTTAGCACAGCTGGCTGTGCTGACTGCTGTCTCCTCTGTTGTCTGGCTGCTCCCAGGTGTCCCGACTGCAGGGGCAAGCCCTTGCAGTGGCTGCCACCTGCTCGCTGTTTGGGTTCTTCGGCTTCTCTGTGGCACCTGTGGCCATGGAGCTGGCGGTGGAGTGTGCCTTTCCTGTGGGTGAGGGTGCAGCTGCAGGCCTGGTCTTTGTGCTGGGGTGAGTGTCCACCTGCCCTGGCTGCTTCCCTGGGCCTAGATGCTCTCCCCTGGCCCACCCCAGGCTGCGTGGCCCAGGCCCCTGTTTGGGAAGAGAGTGGCCTGTCTGCTCTGGTAAGGGTGGGCCATACACAGGCCTGGGCCAGCCTAGGCCACATGGACTAGGCTTCATGCTGCTCTTGGAACGTCAGCGGGCGGCGCAATGTCGGTCCCTCCCAAGGTGGCATTGGCTTTGAAAGGTGGACAGTGCCGTGGCCCTGGCTGAGGGCTGTGCATGTCCAGGCAGGCCCAGGGTGTGCTCATCATGGTGTTGCTGACGGTGCTGACTGTGCGGCCCGAAGATCCATCCTCCTCCACCTGCCAGCATGGTGAGGACCCGCTGGACTGGACAGGTCAGTGTCCATACCCATGACCCAGGGCCCTCAATGAGTAGAGGTAAAAAGGCCAGGCCTGGCCAGTTGGGGCAGCCCTGGAACCCCCATTCTGGGCCCTGTCTCTGGGTGCCCTTCACATGCCACCTACATCTGAGCACCTGAGCTCAGTGGGTGGGTGCAGCCCAAAGACCCTGAGAGAAACCCAGTCTCAGTGCCCCCTCGTGAGCTGTTTTAGAGCCAGGAAAGAGAGAGAGAAGTGGAGAGACATGGGGCCAGAGAGCGGGGAGGGGCTGAGAGGAGAGGGACAGGGACAGAGAGCACAGTCGGAGCTGCAGTGGGCAGTGATGACAGTGGGGGTCAGGCACCCTGGGCACAAGGCCTGTGACCCCCGGGACTGTCAGGATGGGGAGCGGGGCTGCTTTGGGGATGCATTGTGGCCATGGTGGGTCCAGATCCCCTGGGCTCTGCCATGGCCGAGGGCTCCTCTGGCTAATTGGGCCAGCTGAGAGAGAGAGCTGTGTGTGTCCCCAGTGTCTCTGCTGCTGATGGCCAGCCTGTGCACCCTCTTCACCTGTGTCTTGGTGCTCTTCTTCCACACCCCATACCGGCGCCTGCAGGCTGAGTCTGCAGGAGCCCCCTTGCCCTGGACATGTGCCCCAGAGCTGAGGGCACCACCTGAGGCTCCTGGCTCAGCACCTCCAGCTCACAGGCTGCAGGAACCTCCTGGCCCTGCCTCCTGCCTTCAGGAGCCCAAGGACTCGCGGAGACTGTGAGCAGGGGTGTCTCATGAAGGGAGGTGGAGAGGCAGTTTCTGGTCACCGGGACTGTGACCACCGGCTCAGGGTTCTTGGCACACCCAGGGCATGGCAGGATTTGGCGCTGTGGACCCTGTGCAGACTGTATGGCTGAAGCAAGAAGAGCTGCTACTGTATGGACACTGACCAGGGAAGACAGCCCAACACAGGGCAGTGTAGGTTGGTGAGGTGGCCTGGCACAACAGCAGGGGCTGAAGGGGAGCTGGGTATGAGGGACCTGGAGTGGACAGGTGTGGGCACTTGCTAGAAGGAGCCAATCCCTGAGCCTCTTCTTCTCTGCTCAGTATGGGGTGACCACACACTGAGGCTGATGCTAAGACAGGTGGGCAGGGCTGCCAGCACAGGGGCCCCAGGCCGATGCAGACTCTCGGGCAGACACTGGCAGGCAGATGTGTGGGTCCACATTTATTGAACTGGACACAACCAGGGCTGAGTAGCCTCACTCCTCCTTCTCCTCCCCATGGGTGAGCACGTAGCTCAGCGCCTTGTAATCCAGGTTGCCCGCTGCGTCGATGGAGGCGAACTCCAGCATCTGGTCCACCTGAATGAAGGCGAGTTGGTGGGTGGGGGGTCAGGCCTGGTGGAATGGGTGGCAAGAGGTCCCCACACCTCAGCCTCCTAGGTGCTCTGGATTACAGGTGCTGAACTCCAGAGGCTCCTAGTGTTGCTTCTCTGCCAGGAATGGGGCGGGATCTTGGAGGGGCAAGCAGGGTGGGCATGGGGCCAGAAGGAGAAGCAGGTTACCGAGCTGGTCAGTGGTGCTTAGGGTGGCCACCTGGGCAATGTGAAGAATGGGGTGGAGTTCTGAAGTACAGATGGGGGCTACCCTGTCCCCTTGGGCTAGGACAGTAAGTCTGTCCCCTCAGCTAGGTCAGACCACCAAATGGCCAGTGGCTTCCAGCCCTGACCTAGCCCAGGGCCACCCCCCTCTCCCAGGAGCCCCTGCCTCAGGGACTGTTCTTAGTCCTGCCCACCATGCTCCTGCAGCCTGGGGCTGCTGTCCCTCAGTGGCCCTCTGGGGCTGCAGGCCTACCTCAGTTGCAGTCATCTTGTCAGCCTGGGACATCAGCAGGCGCTTGATGCTGAGGGCCAGGAGGAGCAGGGGAGTGGTTAGGCCCCCTGAGGAAGGGCTGGCAGCTCACACCAGGGCACCTGCAGCGCGGCTCAGAGTGGCGTGGGCTCAGTCCTCACCCCACCTTCCCAGCACCTGGTGATCACCCCAGCCCATCCTGACCCCCATCGGTCATCCCCAGTCCTGAGGAGGTGTTTTATGGGTCACAGGCAAGTGCTTGGGAGGGACACCAGGCTATTCCCTCTCCCCAGCCCCTGGATGAGGTGGCCCTCCTGTAGGGTCTAAAGACAGTGACAGCTGGAGGGACCTGGTGGCCTAGTCATGGAGACTGCCCCACTGGGTGGGACTGGACTTCCTGGGTCATCCTGAAGGACTCCGCTCAGGCCACAGAAGGCCCCGAAGCTGGAGAGACCAGGAGATGGGCTTCGGTGTGGGTGCTGCAGCCCCTTCTGCCAGCTGAGACCCTCCCTGCAGCTGCACTCACTACTCCTTGTGGATGCTGCCTTTGCCGTCAGGATCGAGCATCTTGAAGGCATTCAGGATGGTCTCCTCAGTGTCTGTGCCTGCAGCAAAGAGGCCATAGGGTCCCCTACTACCCCAGGGCTCTGAGCCCCTGCCCAGCAGCATCACTGCCAGGAAGCCTTCCCACTCCTGAGCCCCAGGGAGCCTGCCCTGTTGTTCCCACCTGGGGGAACCATTCTCAGGGTCCCCAGAGTCAGTCCATGCCTGCAGCTGGAGCCAGGGATCTAGGAGTGAGGGACAGAGACCACTGGACAGCTGGGTAGATGGGAGGTTTGGAACTCAAATGGCTCTGGGTGGCTGACAGGATCTTAGGGCATGGGGAAAATACAGGCTTCTATGTGCAATGGCTGGATTTCTAAGCACTGGGAATTAGCTAGGCACATACACACAGCTGGCTGATTGGCCTGAGGGCTGCCCAGGAGTGCTATCCCTGAGAGGGACCAAAGAGCTCACCAGTCAGCTTCTCCCCAAACAGGTTCAGGAACATGGTAAAGTTGATGGGCCCTGAAGCCTCCCGGAGCATGGCGTCCAGCTCATCATCCTTGACGTTGGTTTTGCCTGTTGCAAAACCAGGAGGAGGGTTTACCAGAGCAGGAACGTCACCCCCTGCCCCTCTGCCCTTGTTGACACTGGCTACCCACTCCTGTTGTTCTCCAGGGTGACCCCAGAACAGTGCTGGGCTCTTGGGGAGAGTGCTCTCAGCCAGGTGTGTGGGGTACAGGCTGGGGCAGGTGAATTCACCCCAAACCCTGAGCCTGGGACACAGCTGCTGAGGAGGAAAGGGGAGATCAGAGGTGGGGAGAGGGGAGGCTGGGTTTGGGGACAGGGGAGGTGTCTTTTCTATGTTTAGGCATAAGGGGGGTTGAGAGGGGACTCTAACATAGGAAGAAACCTGCCCACCTTCCCCAGCTCCTGGGGCAGGACCGGAAGCCCCAGGCCTGGTCTGAGGAATTCCCCATGGGGAATTTTGGTGCAGAGGCTTTGTGCCCCTAGGTGGCCTTGGAGAGGGCTGGAAGAACTGGGTCCAGTGTGACAGCATAGGCAGGCCCCACGCCCTCTCCTAGCTCCATGAGGCTGGGCTGAGGCAGGGTGGGCTCAGCCTGCATAAGCTGTGGCTGTGGCAGCCCACTGGTGTTGTCCCCTCCTGGGATCCCCTGCTCCAAGCCCATCCCAAGTGGTCGTGTGTGGGCAGTGGGCCACTGGCTGGTCTGCCCTGGGCACCCTGTGCTGACCCTGAGCAAGCCAAGTGTGCAGGATGTCACCAGCCTGTAGGGCCAGTGCCCTTGATCCACTCGAGGAAGAGTGATGATGTCCAGGTTGGATGTCACGTGCTCACCTTCTAGTGGCACTTACCCAGGGAGGCGTAGGTATCCTTCAGGTCCTCCTTGTCAATGAAGCCATCTCGGTTCTGATCCATGAGTGTGAATGCCTAGAACCCAGGCTGCTGGGAGCATTGCTGGTAGCCCAGCTCTGCCTCCATTCCTGTGCCTCTCCCGGCTCCTCACCCACACCAAGGCGAAAGGCAGCCACAGGCCTACATGGGATCCCCCCCACCCACTGGAAAAGGGGACTTGGACAAAAGAGGACAGACCCACCTCCTTGAACTCCTGGATCTGGGTCTGTTCGAAGTTGGAGAAGACATTGGAGGATGCCCTCTGGGCACGCAGCGCCCCGCCCTCCTTCTTCTTGGTCTTCCTGCTGGCCTGGGGCAGGAGCACCAAGACTTAGGGCCCTGGCCAGCTGCGGGAACCCCAGGACACCCCATGATCCTGCTGAAGGTCCCTGGCCAGCTGGAACCCCAGGGCACCCCAAGATTCAACAGGCTTAGCACAGAGGAGAGGATCAGGCAACATGGTGGCCCCAAGCCCAGGTGTATGGGGGAGGACAGGGACTCCTTAGGCCCTGGCACAGCACAGGGCTCAGACTACCTCACTGGGCTTGGCCTGGGGGCTCCAGAGCAAATGGACTCCATGAATGGGCCTGTCCTGGGCACCAGGTCTCCTGTGGCCCAGACTCTCCCACCTGCTTCCCCGACTGTCACCAGGGTGGCTGTCCCTGGGTGGCCGAGGCACATACTTCTCACACCCACACTGAGGTGCATGTTCACATGCTCTCACACACTCACAGGCACATCACACTCGTGTGCACACACAGCTCTCACATGCCCCTGCCCAGTTGTCTGCCTGCTCACCATGCCTGGGTCCTCCCTGCCCAGGGCTCCAGTCCTGCCTGTCTTAAGCTTCTGCCTGGTCCCCCAGGACACTTCAGACTTCAGCTGCCACTCCCTACAAGGACAGGCTCAGGGCCACCCCAGGGGACTGGACAACTGCAGAGTGAGCCTGGGCAACCTGCCGGTGACTCAGACACCCCTCTGCCCCCAGGCACCAGGAGGCTTTGTTCTGCGTAGGAGGCTGTGTCTCCAGGGCCATCTGCCAAACTTTTGGCCAGGGCCTTGGTGTTGAGAGCCCTCTTAGGCACTGTGGGCCCTGCTGGGGCTGCAGGAACTGTAAGTGTCAAAGGAAATTTGGCTTCTCCAGATCTGTACAGAGGTACTACTACAAGGAGCCCAAACATTGCTGAGCACTCATTTTAGTATTTATTTATTTATTGACACTGGTGATGGAACCCAGGGGTGCTTTAACACTGAGCTATATCCCCAGCACTTTTTATTTAGAGACAGGGTCTGCTAAGTTCCTGAGGCTGGCCTTGAATTTGTGATCCTCTACTTTAGCCTCCCAAGTTGCTGGGATGACAGGCGTGTGCCACCGGGCTCAGCCTGCTGAGCACTTTGAGTATTAGAGCTCCCAAGCACCACCGTCCTCACCTCCCTGTCTCATTGGTATATACGACAGTGGGGCCTATGACCCTGGCCTGACCCTTTGACCTCATGGTGGCAGCTCTTTAGTTTCTGTGGCAAGAGACTTGGGGATGGCCAGGCTACCCAGATGACCTGGTCTGGGTCACTCTTGGCTGCCAGGTCTCCCTCCTACTGCCTGACCTGAGTTCTGGGAAAGGACACAGCCTCAGTCACACAGCTCCCTTCGGGTGCTGCTACCTAAGACCCCCAGAACCAAAGGGGTCTTCAGGTAGGACCCTGTGGAGGCATCACCTGCTGGGAGGACCTGGGGGACCAGGTATAGGGGCTAAGGATCCAGAGCCAAGGGCCCACTTCCTGGGGCAGGGCTGGGTGTGGCCCTGCAGGCGTCTTGGCTTGGCTGCAGGAGGGGGAGCTCCAAATGTGAGAAGGCTGCAGATCTCCAGGGAGCATCCTGGCCCAGTTGGGCTCTAGGTCCCCCTCCAGGACTGAGTTCAGCTCTAAAGATAGTGACACAGACAGGGGTATCAAGATTCTGCACACATCTGACCCTGACAGGTGCAGAGGCTTCCACTGGTATTTCAAGACAAGAGAGACCCTCCTTCCCTCCCCTAGCCCCTCAAAGAGCCCTGATCCAAGCCAGGTCTCCAGCAGTGCCCATGGGTGGTCTTGCATGCACCAATGGGCATGTATGTGTTGTGCACTGACCCCCAAAGCTGCTGGTATGTCCTGTCCCCTGTCGTCACCTGGGCCCCAGAGACACTTATTTTCAATTTTGGAAGCTTCAGCTGCTGAGGAGTGCAGTTTATTTTAAAATCTGGTAAAGAGAAAGCCCACTCGGTCACTTGAGGTCATTTGGCCAGTGGCCCAAGGGCAGGAAGGGGTGGGGGGCTCTGCAGGCTGATGTCTGTGTGAGTGGAGAGCTCTGTTTTGTGCACTTGTGGATTCCCCAAAAGCCAGAGGGCTGAGGAGGGCCAGGGTCTGCATCCGCCCCACAAGACTGGGCTCTAGCAGGAGTCCTCAGGGGCTCCAGGCTGGCCTCATCCAGGGCAAGAGAAGAGCAGTTGGCCCTGCAGGATTGGCCAAGGTGCTCCCATCTCCAGCCCTGACTTCCCAGCTGGGGAGGCTGAGGGCTGGGACTCCAGAGCAAGCTGAAAAACGGGACAAGCTCAGCCAGGGCTCTTAGAGGGCCAAGGCAGTTGGGCTCTAGGTCCCCCTCCAGGACTGCTGAGCACCCATGGGCCTTGAAGTTTTCATTGCATTTATTCACTTTAGATTCAGTTATGTTGTCTTTGGAAACAGGAATTCGAGGAAGAGTAAGGAAAGGTGGACTTCCCCAATTCCCAGGGAGGGGGGGGGGTATGGACTTGGATGGGACCCAACCCTTGGCCTTCAAGACTACCTGCCCAGTAAGGCAGGGTGGACGAAGCACAGGTAGGCGTGAGGTCACTGCTGGGGTGAGGACAGCTGATGGGGTGGTAGACCACCAGGCTACGGATGGCCCCATTTTGGGCAACCGCAGCCAGGGCTGGCTCAGGTGTGGGGGACAAGTAGCCATTCTGAGGTACAGAAGCGAGCAGAGAGACTGGAGAGGTGGCCTCGGGAGAGGTGCACCTGGGAGCTCACAGCTGCGAGTTCTGAAGGCTGGGTTGGGGACCTGGGGGTGGGGGGCTTGCTCTGGGTGGCCTTCTCATGAAGGTTCCAGTCCCTCCTGCTATGGGAGTAAGGAGGGCAGGAGAGCTCAGGGTGAACAGCCTGGAGGTCACTGACGAGCTGCAGCCATCGCCGCCCCGATCCCGCACGCCTGCGCTCTAGGCCCCCGACCCCTCGGGCACGCGCTCTATACTGCTGGTTCGTGCCTGACCGAGCGTGGGGTTCGGTTAGTTCTCCTCCAGGTCCAAACCCGGGCAGGCGGGGCGCGGACGCTCGGCCCGTACACCCAGGGCCGGGTCGCTTGGTTCCCTCGCTCCCAGGGAAGGGACACAGTATGTGTGCCGTACCCTTCCCTCCCGGTCGCGCGCAGACTTTCCTTGTGCACGAGCGCGTCCCGTGACGTCACCCGCCGGGGAGGGCGCTCTGCCTCTTCCTACCGGCAGGGGGCGCCGCTCGCGCTCCGGCGCATGCGCCCGGCTAGGCTGGCGCCCCACGGTCTTCCGGGCCCTCGCGGCATTCACCTCCGCCTCGGCTGCGCTTCCGGTGCGAAGGTCAGGGACAAGATGGTGCCGCCGGTCCAGGTCTCTCCGCTCATCAAGGTGAACCCGGCTTCGTGGCAGCAGCACGGTTATATAGGCTGGGACCCCGATCCCTGCCCACTACCCTCATCCCCCAGACCCGGCAGGCCGCGCCCTGCCTTTCCGCGTCCTCGCCTTCCTTCGTGCCCGACCCTGCAGGCTACGCCCCCGACCCCCACACCCTGCAGGCTACGCCCCCGACCCCCACACCCTGCAGGCTGCGACCCCGACCCCCACACCCTGCAGGCTGCGCCCCCGACCCCCACACCCT